GCTGAGCCTTGGTCTAACATCACAGCCCTGCTTCCTGGCAGAGCAACACCTCTGGGAGTGGTGAGGTGCATGGAAGATACCAAGCCCATGACCCTCACTGTAATTTTTTTTCTGGAGGATTCTGGATGCTCCCTTCTGAGATTCTGCAAAACCTTCAGTGTTTCCATTTAGCTCCTTCCATCTCAGTTGGATATTTGCAATGCTTAGGGTCACTTTGGGGCCTCATAATGTCTAAGCAGAAGGACTTGCTGACTTTAAATCAAGTTTTCCGAAGTTCATGATTATGGGAAAAACTACGCTCTCCAGAAACCAGAGGATTGTCTACGTTCACTTTGAGGCATCTCTGTTGTCATCAGTCGAAAATGGAGATTTTCCTTTTAGAAAAGTTTTTCCAAATAAGAGTTTTTGACTACTCTGAGCAGAGAACTTCCAGTTTGCATGCTATAGTATATACCCTTGGATTAATTTCACTGTCAAGTGTAACAAATGAAAATCACTAGCTTTCTACAGAAAATTATTTAAATAACTATTTTATTTAATTATCTACATTGAATAGAAGTCAACAAATCTGTTTTAAATTTTTTAACTAGAGGTCTTGAGAGGGATGTTTGAGAAATAGGGAACTTTAATCAAGATAATTAGTAGGAAAATAGTAGCCACCATTGAAAAAGTGAAAGGCTAGCAGAAAGATGGTTTAAGATGAGAAGTTTAAGCTTATGAGTAGACATCTGAGAAGTCAAAAGTTATCTCCATATCAAAAAATGTTTTAAAATTAATTCTGCCCAAGAATTCAATGGGTAAGCTTATGGAGAAGCATGTGGGTGCTGATGAAGATTAGAAAGATATGGCTTAAAGGAAAATTTTTATGATTTAGAAATTTAAAGCTACATAGGTTCTAAAGTCTGTTTTAATTTAGTTGCACTTTTTTTCTGTGCATATATTTGGAAGTAAACTTGTGTTGCATCCATAACACTGTCTGTCATCTATATTACCAATTTATCTTCGATTATTTCTCTAAATAAAGCTGGAATTAGAAATATAAATCTTCATGAAGGTTGTAGGACTTGTTATGATCATAAATTATAATTTGCCAGAAACTATAACCTACAGTCTAATTTGAAATTAGTATACCTTGATTTACTCTTGGTAATTATCATATGATACAACTTCTAGCCTGGATAGTTTCTCAAAGATCTTTAGGCATCTTGTGCTCAAATAGGCAACCCTGCCTGGGTTGAGGTCAACTTCTCTGAGGATTTTCCATCATCAAGTGTCATCAAAAAACCTCCAGCCACAAAACACCTGCTGCTGGCTCCTCCCAACATAGTACTAACCCACCTTGCCTCACAACCTCTTCACCATGTTGTGATTGTAACACGTGTGTGTATTTCAATATTTATACCCTATTTAGACAAAATGTAAGTGAACAGAAGCATAACCACAGGCAGAGAAACTGAGAAACAACTAGCCACACCCCAGAGCAGGTGGACACAAGTCACCTTTGGGAGAATACTGTGAAACTCAATGTCTCACTCAGGGGCAAGACTAAACCAAGGACTCACTAACTCACTAAGCAATAATGCTCACATTCATTCAGTGAATCATCATCAAATAGTAGTGCTTTTTGAAGAAAATTATGAAACGCTGATAAGTTTGGTTTTATCACACAAACCACAGGAAATTTTTCTGGCAGAAAATATGTTTGCCATATAACATGATGTGCGTGAACGCGCGCGCGCGCACACACACACACACACACACAGACACATACACACACACACAATCGACATGAACTCTATTGGCTATTTCAAAAATTTTATTCTCTGTTATTTGTTTAGACATTTTGTCCTCAATGGAGCTCTCTAGAAGGCAACATATGAATAGCAGCAAGTATAAAAAGCTTAGGAACAATACCGTAGGGTACGGGGAAGGGTGGAAAGGGCGAATCGGGGGGAAAGGGGACATCTATAATACTTTCAACAATAAAGATCAATTTTAAAAAAGAGAAAAATATAAATTTCCATTAACTTAATTCTTTTGTATAATGAGAAAAGATTGGCACTATTTAATTTAGCAGGGAAACATTTTTTTCCAGCTCAAAACAAAAACAACCTTTTCCCCAAAATCACAGTTTGAGACACTACAGTCATCTTCGAAGAGCAGTTTTCTTTTACAAAACTTGTTTGGAAACCAAGGGCTCATAGCAGTCTTGTTATAAAGGACCAGCACTAAGGAGAATCTGCTTTGCTATCAGGAAAGCCTCGGGGAAGAAGAAGGAAAAAGTTTAAATAGACATAAGAACACTTTGGAGGATTACATAATAGTCATAATAAACCTTGCAGGGACCTTTACAGACTGAAAATGCATTTCCATGAATATTGCAGCTCCAATGTTTACTCCATCCTACAGATGAGCAAACTGAGACAAGGAAAGGGAAGGAAAGGAGTATCCACCTGAAGTAATAGTCCCTGCGCCAACCTGGTAGCAGGTGATACTCTCAGAACTGGTCCCATGGAGCCACCTGCCTGTGTTAGGGTCTGATGGCAGCCCAGGAGCCAGCACAGCTCAGGAATCAGAGCAGCCAATACTTGATTCTACCTCTTCCCTCTCCACATTTTCCGCCTGGTTCCAGGACCACACCTTGTGCATAGACTTCACGTTTCAATCCTCAAGTGTCTTCAAACGTCTGAAGTTAAGTCCAGCTTTTCTTTGTTCTGTTTTGTTGTTGTTTTCTTTTTTCAGGAGTACTTACTTTTCAAAACCCCATACTTTAATCATTGTCGAGTTATATACACAAAGGATTGAATTTCAGTAACTACAGAACTATGGTGTTTTTTTTTGGGGGGGGGGAGGGGGGTTGCAGTAATGCTGCTTTTAATGGCGGCGCAATATAGAAGTACAGGTTTTACTAGCTTGAGCTGAGAGGTTTAAAAGGTGCTCATTTACACTATCAAGTAGCCTCATATAGAAACAGATCTCAGGCTGCCGAGGCTGGAGATCTGCAGGACAGGAAGGAGGTTCTTGGGTTTTGTAGGATAAAAGAGTGAACTGCTAACCCAGCACTATCGTTATACTTGTTTGGGAAGAAAAGGTTGGTTTTGGTGATGGTTTCATCTTCCATTTCTTTTACTTGGGTGGTAAATAAAAAGAAATTTGCTAGCTTGAGTTTTACATTTTCTTGTTAATACCCTATAAGCATTGGGCTGTGCATTCTCTGGTGTAGGGTCTATCAAGTTTTTCAAGAGGACTGTCATTTGTGGGTAGATTCCAAAAGGGAAGTGAAACTAACTGATGATCTGTGCCCCTCATGTGGAACACACCAAGCCATCCAGACAATAGCACAGCCATGGAAGTAGGTCAGAACGCTGTGCAAATGTGTTCACAGTAGTTGGTAGACATCTGTGTGTCATAAGAATCTTAAGCCACATGTGCTGGGGTTCCTACATGCTGGGAAAGTTCGTAGTATATGTAAACAGGACCTGAGAGTGAAACTAGGATATTGTTGCCTTAGGGAAGTGATTCCCAAACTCTGGTCTTAGGACCCCTTTACATTCAAGTTTAATGAAGACCCCATGCTTTGTTTAGGTGGGTTATATCTATTCATATTTACTGCACTATAAATTAAAAGGGATTCATTTGTACAATATTTTGTAAAATATTTATTTTCTTCATTCATTCAAAATAACAATATATCAACTCTATGTTAACATAAATAATATGTTTTATGAAAAACAACTATATTTTCCAAAGCAAAAAAGTGAGTGAAAAGAATGACATGATTTTATATTTTGTAGATATGTTTAGTGCCTGGTTGAACAGAAGAGAACTAGATTCTTGTATCAGTCTCTGTATTCATCTATGGTGACAGCACACAGCATAGAATCTCTACAAAATGCCATTGTATACTAATGAAAGTGAAAAAGGCACCTAACAAATATAATATTATGAAATAGATGTGACCTTGTGCACCTCAGGAAGAGTTTTGGGGGCTTCCATGGGTCCCTAAACTACATTTTGAAAATACTGCACTAGAGTTAATCCTTTAATAGCTCTTAGCCATGAGTCTATTCAAGGGAGTCTGGGTGATAGAAGAAAGCACAGTAATAGATCAAAGATAAATAGTGAATTTGGACATGAAAGACAGAGAACATGCTGGTAGTCCTAACCCCTTGAAGGAGAGTCTATGGTAAAATAATAAAAGCTGGAGAATAAGATAAAAAGCAAATAAGATTATGAACTCTGATGCCAGGACAGAAACGGTCCCCTCTATGCCATATCTTTACAGATTTAAATCCGCCTGGGTCATTTCTGATCTATAAAAGAGTTAAATCCGTGTAAGTGAGTCCAGCCATTAGTGGTAACAGCAAGGGTGTAAGATTATCTCATAATTAAGATTAATTTTTTCCTGGGAGTACTTTTAATGTCTATAAATATAAGTACTTCTCAAATCTGTAGTAAGAATATCAGTAGTCCATACAGAAGTAATGGTTGCAAAGTTTCGGAAGTTATATTTTTAACATCAATGATCATATTCTTATTTTTTAGTATATTAACAGTAGCTTATAATATTCCTAATTTAGTTATTTCAGTTCCTGGAGTCAGAGTGTTTAGAAAGTCTACAATGGTAGCATTTTTTCTATTTATAGCTACAAATAAGATTCCTTTAAAAGCACTAATACTTCCAGTTTGTGTAATAGCAAATTACGATATCGGTAGCCATGGTATTTGGAAAAGTCCATAGGAAAATAAAGTGTGATTTTTAGAATTACTAATTAAATAATGTACTGTAGTATTAATAACTACTGCTGTAGCAGTTATTTGAGTGTCTGGTATCACCAGTGCTCTCAGTTAGAGTATTATGTCCTATAAACCAAGAACAAGTTGAGTGATTCCAATGACTATACATAAAGCAACAGTATTTATAGAGCTTAATGTGGTATTTTAAAGGATATCAAAATCATCTGTGAAGTCTGTAGAAAAATACATAAAATACCTGTAGTGTAATTGATGGGGCTATGTGAGTTATAATTTTAAAAATAGTTGCATATATTCTGGTTCCAAAAGAAGTAGTTATAAAGTAAGTACTGGATACATCTTGAGATATACCTTCAATGCTTACAGTGCTTGGAGTAGCCATATCTGTAAAAGCTAGTGCAGATATTTGTGAAATTTTATATAGCATAAAATCATGTACCTGTTAATTGATTTTCTATATCTGTAATAGTTGTTTTAAAGAGATGCCTGTAGTAGTTATCCTGCTTTGAGTAGTAATCAGGGAACTACAGTAGTATTTTTGGTGTTTGCAATATAAGTCAATGCAGTAGTAGAGGCATCCATTGGTGTTCTATCAGGAATAATAGTATTTGAAGCATAAATGGTAACATTCGTAATAGCCGTGGTAGCATTAGTTACAATAAGAGGTAAAAAACTGGTTGTAGAATTTGTTGTTACATGATGGTGAGTTGCTGTATCCAGAAAAGGTGTTAGTGAATCTGAGGCTACTATAGTATTTGGAATAAAAACACGCCTGGAGTTATCTGCATCAGCAATATTTTCTGAATGCTCTGTAATCTTCGAAGTATTGGTGGTGGGAATAGCTGTGGTACTTGGAATGTAAGTATTTGTAAAGATGGTGTCAGAAGTAGTGTTTGAATTTATAGTTTTTGTGCTGAAAACAGATGTAGTGATGGTGGTAGTATACGCTGTGACGGCATTTCCAGCAACTTTAGTAGTAGATTTAATATCTGTAATGTTCATATGTGAGGAAGTAGCAGTGGAAGTATTTATAATGTCAGTAACACCAGTTGTCATATTGGTAATATTGGTATTGGTGGTGCTTTGAGTGCTCCTGGATGTGGTACTTAAAGCATGGGTAGGGGTATCTGGAGGATAAGTAGTGGTACTGATTCTGGTCAGTACATTATCTGTGGTGGTGATACCAAGGGTGCCTGTAGGAGGTAGAGTTGACATGATCACAGTAGTAGGTTGTTCAGAAGTAGCATTTGTTATTAAAGTAAGTGTTGTGATAGCTGTAGTTGTTTTTGTGTTTCTAGCAGTGGTAGTATTTAAAACATTTGTAGTAACTGAATCCATGCTAGTAGTATCAGTCTCAGTATTTGTAAGAGAAGGAATCATTGTAATCGGAAGCGTATTATTAGTGCTAGTAGCATTGCTATCTGTTGGGGAAAGAGCAGTGGTAATAAGACCAGCAGTACCAGTGGTAGTATTAGTAGTATTTGTAGGGAA